ACACCGGTGGGGAGCCAGCTCCCCTCGCCCGCAGCACACGCCCTGACACGGGCCCGGCTCTACCTGGCACCACGCCGTTGGTGGCGATCGCGCTCATGGAAATGGCCGTCAGCATGGTCTGCGGGAAGAAACACAGTGTTGGCACCTGGCAGAGCTTCCTCCTTGCTGGGGCAGAGGGACAGATGGGCAGGAAGGGAGAGCTGGGGCTGCGCTGGGACAGGGGGCTCCCCAGGGCCACGCTGAGACGTGCCACAGGGCCAGGATGGTCAGGGAGGAGAGATGGATGGATGGATGGATGGATGGATGGATGGATGGATGGATGGATGGGCAGGGTTGCTGGCTGGCAGTGCAGCTCAGGGACTGAGCCCTTTGGAGGGACTGGCAGCACTGCGAAGGACAGGGCGTCCCCAGGCTGTCCTGGATGCTTGCCCATATTCAGGCCCCCAAGCCTCTGCCTGGGGGTCGCCGTCCTGGCAGGATGGCTCGCTGCAGCATGGCATACAGGGCAAGGGCAGGGGATCCCCGCCACATCCCCCTTCCATGGTAGCTACGATCTGGGTCGCTGTTTGAGCACTGTTCTGATGATGATTCCTTTGGGAAGCCGAAGGCTTCTCCTTGCTCTAAGTGGGGCAGGGGCAGGGGCACAGGCAGGTCAGGGCAGGGTGGGCTGGCAGCTAGTGCACCTCTCTGTAGCCTGGCTGGTGACCCCCAGACCCCGGGGATCGTCACTCACACACGAGCAGCAGAGGAAGACCATGCAGAAGGACTCCATGATGCCAGCAATCCCCACCACCCAGGTGAGACGCAGGAAGAGAATGACCCCGAAGATGTTCTGGAGGCAGGGCAGGTAGACGCCCATGAAGGTGCCCATCCGCGGGGCCTGCCAAGGGAGCGGGCAGCCATCAGGGCTCAGGGGCCCGGCTGTCAGAGGAGCGAGGGGTCCCACTCCTCCTTCAACACAGCCAGGGACCCCTGGCTGGGGCTGAGGGGCCTGGCTGTCCCTGGCGCAGCCCATGGCCCAGCACTGCATGGGCAGGGGCCGGGAGAAGGGGCTGTGTCCCTCCTGCATCCCTCAC